AGGTAAAAAATGGAATCGCCAAATCAGAGACATACCTTGACCACAAGGATGAGTTAGACAAGGAAACACTTGCTACGCTTTTTCTTGAACAGGGATAAATCCAGCCTCAACCACCAACCCATTTTGGCTTTCCTATCATGTTTTAGCATTTTAAAAAAAAGGAGTAAAAAGAGAAAAAAGGAAAACCATGCAAAAAACAATTGCCCATATTTTCACACTTACATAGTTTAAGATCTGATTAATATATTTCACAGAATCATAGAGTTGGAAGAGACCATAAGGGCCATCCAGTCCAACCCCCTGCCATGATCCGTCATATTACTACTCTGGCTGCCTTCAAAAAGGCAGTAAAGACGGATCTTTTCCGGCAGGCCTTCCCGGAACATCTCCCTGATTAACTGATGGCAATCCTTTGCTCATTCACTGACATGTTCACCCTATTTAGTTTATTGTTTTAATTGTTATGCTCATGTTTTAATTCGCAAGAGGTGTGGCGCGCCTCTTTGGCATCTCTTCCGGCTCAGTGCGTATGGACGCTGAGCTGGAAGGACGTAATCGGAGCGCCCGTCGTCTGCAACGACGGGCGCTCCGATTACGTCCTCAGGAAGGGGTTGGGGCGCCCAGCGTGAGGCTGCCCCTCCCCTTCCTTGCCTCCAAGATGGCGCAAAGCGCCGTCTGAAAAGGGGGTTAGTTAGCCCAAATGGCCAAATTAATGAGGGTTTTAAAGGATACACCAACTGAAGACTCTTTGGAAGACTGGAAACTGTTTTTTGGATTTTTTGAGCAATAAGAAATCTAATGATGTCATAATCTGTGGCTTGGTTATTAGTAATTTCAGCAACATGTGGAGAACAACATGATTCCAACCCCTGCAGTACACCTTTCAGGATGTAGATCTGCCTATGGTTCCTTTGAGCCTTCACCCCCATTTATATTTTAGTCCACTAATGCAAAAGTCAGAAGGAAGGAGAGAACCACACCAAAACTGATTAGATTCTCTCCCCCCCAATTCTTTCCCCTCAGCTTTTGTATCTCTATGCACAACAAATGTCAGTACATTTTGGCTGTCTGACAATCAAGGCTAAATTCCACAGCTGCCAGGACTGAGAGGCAAAGCCTCTTTCCTGACCCTGTGTTGCTCAGGCACCTGGAACAGTTCAGCACAACTGTGGGGAGGACCAGAGATCATCTGCCACTCAGCCCATGTGAGCCTCCAAAGCCACAAAATGGAATACCAGCAGCCCTCCGCCCCTACTAGATGCTGGAAAAAGCAGAAAAACTGCACCATTGGAGGGACCAAGTTCGCTAGAAAACTTGGAAGTGCTCAAGTGATGCAGGCAAGCCCCAGCCTTCCTCCCAAGCAGAGTTTTTAGGATGTAGGGAGGATAAGAAATCAATACAACTGTTGTGCTGTGCTTCAAAGAACCTCCAAAGCACAGCCTGCCTGCTGGGATTATTCCTCACTCTGCTCTCCAGTTCTGAGCCACAGAGTAGGACTAGCACATATAATTCTTGCCAGAAATGATGGGACATTGCACTAGTGCCTTTGTCAATCCTTGGCTCACAAGTAGGAAGTCAGCATCCTGGGTAACCAAGTTTCATTGACATTTAAAAACAAAAAAGCAGAAGTGTTCAGTCTCAGTGCCGGAAGAAGTAAGCCTGAACACAGACAGTGGCTGGTGAAGCTTCATGGCAAAATGGAGACTCAACAGGGTTTTCAATAACCAGAAAATAAAGGTTCATGACCTTACACCTCCTCACAATCCTCCCACTTCCTGGCTGGCAAAACCATAATTATGCAAAATAAAGCCAGCTGCTTGATACGAGTTCACTCATTTGCCACAGCCTGGCAAAGAATCAGTACAACATAATACCAGTTATACCATATATAGATTTCAATGCTAGAGACGTCCTGAAAATCCCAAAGCTTTGAAACTGAGACACATCACCTTCCTCAGGTCCCTCAAAGCCACAATAAGGCGCTCATTTTCTGTTCCTGTGGTGTCAAGCTGGGCCCTCAGGTGCTTCACATCTCCCTGAAGTTCTTCAATGGTTTGAGTTAGGTGGGCCTCTTTGGAAGCTGTCTCTCGGAGCAGACACTCCTCTCGGCTCTCCCCATCAGCGGCTGCCCGTTTGTGACTGCTGTGTGACTCAGCCAAAGCCTAGAAAACAGAAGAAGACACAAGACGCTATAGATTATAACATAGTCAGGGTCCAAACTGGGCACAGGCTGAGGCACACATGGAGAAAGTGCAGTCAATGGGCCATGTGTGGCCCCCAAAGCATCCCTCCAAATTGTTTGATTTTTTTCCCCCCCAGCATGATATTTGGATGTTTTTCAATCCAAAACCATTCACAAGAATACATTCCCCCTCCCCATAAGCCTTTGTGCTGGCTGAAAACTGGAACTGACATGATGTCACTTCTGGAGAACCGGAACATTCTGCTGTAGCTTGAAGGAGTTAAAATTGGCCCCATCCCCACACCATTGCCCACTCCCTGGGCCACGGGAAACCTTGCCTTTGTCAGAAGCCTAGCAAGAGAATCGTTCACTCACCTCCTTCATGTGCACCAGCTCCATGCGCAGCACCTCTAGCTGACCTTCTAGCTCTCCACAGCGCTGCTTGAGCTCACCATTCTCTTCCAGTACAGCCAGCCCATACTGTGCTGCCTGGACCTTCTCTTGTGTTGCCTCCTGCAGTTCAGCCACCAGGCGCTCTACCTCCGCTTGCAGCTTCACTGGATCCTGGGTCATGGTGGCTACTGGCATACCGTCTCTGGTCAATGACTACTACAGGTGTGCTAGGAGACTGAGATACAAGGGTTAGAGTCAAGAAGAAGGAAGAGGAATCGAACTATCAGAAAGCAAAGGTGTCACTATCTCAACCACCCATGTGGACCATTTTGGATTTTGGAATTCTAGATAAGGGAGACTTAACCTGTATACCAAGCCAAAGAAATGGCAGCATTCAGGTCATTTATACATGAGCCAGGAAGGATAAAGAGCTCTATAAGATGCAAGCTGAGGAACAGTGTTTGTCCCCCAACAATATGATCGCCCCACTCCAGATAAATATATGCTGTTGGCAGCTAATAATTCAGGGCTAGGCAAAAAGTTATTGCTCCAGGAGGCATCTGGGAAAGTAGTTAAGAGTGTAACCTTTGAGGAAAAGTAATAAAATGTTTATTTGAGAGTTTTAATCTATTATTTCAACAGACTTTTAAAAAAAGATTGTCTCTTTTTTTTAAAGTAAGAGTTTTTAAAAATATAACAGTATCTGCCAAGCCATATTATGACAAACACAGATGTATCTTTAGACATGATAGCCTTCATTTTATTTAGCACATACTAGTTCCCCACCCTTAATCTCAGGACTTCAGCGTGGCCTAATTGATGCCCAAGAAGGAATCAAATTAAAGGATAATAATGTCACACAAAAGGTGAGTTCAGACTGCTCTTCAATTACATACAATTACGATAATGCTCATCTCAGCCACAAACAGATGTTCTGTGTTGCTTCTGGAAGACTTTAGCTTTAATGGACCTCTGGAAAGAAGATCAAAGTGGGGGGAGTAACCACAGAAAGCACCTCCATGCATGGCCCCACTTTGGGGGGTTGCAGACTGCCAGAAATAGTGCAAATTGAGTCCACTTTTAGGGTTAGGGTTAGAGCTAGGAAATCATGGGAATTTTTTTTTCTGAGACCTTGAGCCTTCTCTGTCAGAGAGCTCTGGTGCCACAATAAAATATAGTTCCCATGATTCCCTAACCCTAACCCTAAAAGTGGACTCAATTTTCACTATTTTTGGCAGTCTGCAACCCTCCTTTGGAAACATGGCCCAGAAGCAAACCAAATGGCTGGTTAACTAGCTGGTTGTACTGACTGCCATATGATCCAGTGAAGGAAGAGGGTTTTTTTTCAGCATATAGGGGTTTCAAGCTGTTTTAGAGTTTTATATACAAGGTAAAGTTAGTATCTTCTCAAAATAGTATTCTATTTATTCGTCTGTGCCTTCAAGTGATTTCTGAGTTATCACAACCCTAAGGCAAACCTAGCATGGGGTTTTCTTGGCAAGATTTGATCAAAGGAGGTTTGCCCTTGTCCTCCTTTGAGGCTGAAAGAATGTGATTTGCTCAAGGTCATCCAGTGGATTTCTATGGCTGACCAGAGAATCAAATCCTGATCTCTACAGAGTTGTAGTCCAATGTTTAAACCACTATACCACATTTGTGGAAGTCTATAAGAACTGAGTTCCTAGAACAGACCAAAATCCTTCTAGTCACACGCTCTCCAGGTTTCTGTTCTCCAGTACAGTAGAAAAACAGAGAAGCCCAAAAGCAAGGAACAAAGGCAGCTGTCACCTATATTACACTGACATTCACTACTTTAAGTGCACTGCCACCATGCATGGAAGATTGAGTAGAATAGAAAAGATTTTAGCATACACTTTTCCTTTGGGTGAAGAGGAATAAATAACTTATTAAGAAATGAATTGCTGGGAGGTGTCTGAAAACTTTTTTTAAGCTAGAGAAAAAGAATATATTTAGTAACTGAACTCTAAAATGTGGATACTAGGGCTTCAACTTCTGCCAGTTAAATGGCTGAATAGTCCTGGAGTGCCACTGAACAGAAGTAAATTTTGATGTTGCTGTGTGCCTTCATAAGCTTTCTGACTTATGGCGATCCTAAGGGGTTTTCATCGGTTTTCTGGGGCTGAGAGCGTGTGACTTGCCCAAAGGTCACCCAGTGGGTTTCCATGGCCAAATGAGGAATCGAACTCTGGCCTCCAGAGTCGCAGACTCAAACCACTACACCACACTGGCTCTTTAGACAGAAATTGTTATTCTCGTGTGCCTTCAAGGAGTTTCCAACTCAGAGACCCTAAGGCAAAACTATCATGAGGTTTTCTTGGCAAGATTTGTTCAGAGAAGGTTTGCCATTGCCTTCCCCTGAGGCTGAGAGAGTGTGACTTACCCAAGATCACCCAGTGAGTTTACATAGCTGAGATGGGATTTGAACCCTGGTCTCTAGAGCCATAATCCAACATCAAACCACTATACCACGCTGGCTCTCCAGATAGCAAATTGCCATTTATTAATTTAATTCTGATCCCATTTGTTAGCAATGGTGTCTGTAATATCACTTTCCCCTACCATAAACCCAAGAGCAAAGTTGTCTCTGTGGATTGCCTGCTAGAACTACTATCTCCAAACAGGAATACCAGCAGTCACCAGGGCAAAGACCATGGCGCCTAGCGGGTAGAGCGTCAAGCCAGGGAGACCCAGGTTAAAATCCTCCTCTAGTCATGAAAAACACTCAGTGATATTATGCCAGTGTCTTTCCCTCCTTCTCCTACACACTCAGCCTAGCAAAGCTGTTGCAGGACACAAGAGAACCATGTAAATGCCATGTATGTCATGAGGCTGCCCTGAGCTCACTGCAGGAAGGAAGGAAGGAAGGAAGGAAATATGCATTCCTTCCTTTTAAAATGGCATTAATGATGATCTTTCATAACAACTACCTTTTCTTTTCTTTTCTTTTTTCCTTTTTGGTAATTCACATAAGCATTTATTCTCTTCCCTTAAAATGAATCCTTTGATAAAATTTGACAAGTCAGCTGATTCACTTACTGGTCAGTTGCCTCCCTCCAGGCTGGTTATATGTTCTATTTTGAAACCTTTGCTGCGCATCTTCTGCTCTCCATCCCTTCACAGACTCCCAAAGGGACTTACAAAACTACAGCCATTCAATAATAGAACAGTTCAGCTGAAGTTTGTAAATAGCCATTTGTAAACAGCCATAGGCTGCTCTTGTTCCATAGTGTCAATGACCCAATAAGACAGGTACATGCAGAAAGGCTAATACATATTTTGTTAACTTTCTTTACAAGTTTAGCCCAACCATAAATCAAGCTAGAGGCATAGCTGCTCTCTTTCTGAAGTCTAATGCTGGACCCAGACAGGACTCCTTTGGGAGGTCTACAACTGAGATCCACTTCTAATCAGAAACCCTTTCCCATGTATGCATCTTATAAAATTGTTATATTTAAATTCATGAACCCCACTGTGCTCAACATGCCAACAAAAGACCCATCCCAATGAAATGTTGACATGTCAGTGTTCAGCCAAATGGTCCAGCACATATGGTTAAGCATATTTTAGTGTGCTGATGGGACACACATGGAATAATCCCAAAGCACAGCAGTTAGCCCATGGCTTCTGTAAGTTAGGCTTAGGTTGCCACAGAGACAGTCTTATGTATGTAAATGTGCCTTCAAGTTGCCTGTTGACCTATGGAGACCCCCGTGAATTTCACAGGGCTTTCCTAGGCGAGGAATACTAAGAAACAATTAGAAATAATTTCCATTCATCTGGGAAGGCAATGGAAAAGCCTAAACTGTCAGAGCTTAGGGCTAGGGAGAAGCAAAGCATGGCCCTCTATATCTGGGGTGTAGCTATTAAGTGGGAGAAAGGAATGAAAGCATAGGACTTCTGACATTTACTACCATTACAGAGGGCAAGACACTGGAAATCATTCACACCTAAAACTCTTACATTTGCTTTGTTCCCTTGGCTTTTTTGCTAGGTTCCCCCTTTTTGGATGCCTAAACTCTATTCCCAAATGCTCAGTTGATGTTTAAGTGCTAGAAACTTGGGGACTGAAGAAAAATTTCAGAGTTTTCACGTGGGCCATTGCACTCATTTTGCCCCCCCCCCCCCCCCCCAATAACTGCATCTGTCTGTGCCTTCAGGTCACATATTGACTTATAGTGATCCTGTGAATTTGATATGGTTCTCTAGGCAAGGAATACTCAGAAGTGGTTTTGCCAGTTCCTTCCTCTGAAATCGAGCCTATAGCACCTGGTATTCATTGGTGGTTTCATATTCAAGTACTAACCATGACTGACGCAACTAAGCTTCCAAGATCAGATGGGATGCTCTCCCTGTACCATGTCCAAATGGGCTTCATTTCCCAGTTAGGTCTCATCATCCTAAGAGGCAGAAGACCCTGCCTACAGTTATCTGCTATGTCAGGAAAAGGACAGGTCCTTCACACCAGTCAAGAAGCACCATACCCTAGTTGAAATTCAAACTAGCAACTCCTCTACTTCAGAATAAGCACTACGGAAAGAACATTAACTAAAATTTGGAAAAATTACCTGTAGCCGTGCTGGACATAGCATTACAGAAGCTACAGTCCAAATAGTAACTTTCCGAAATTCATGACAGTAACTTAGACATGTAGATTGACAGGAAGGAGGAAGTAAGGAGCAGCTAAGCTAGAGGACTCTAAACCAGTGCTACTCAAAGTGGTGTTCCCTGGAACAATGCCAGTGCATGAGCCAGTGGCTGCCAGTGGCACGTTTTCTGGAAAGTAACCGTTGAACCCAATGGGAACAAATATGGTGCCACACCAGCACACTGGGAAAAAAGGAATTGACAGTTCCCTATTATCAGCTGCTCTGAGAAGCACTGCTCTAAATAACTGTATCTTCAATAAAATCATCCAACCAATTGTGCTATTTTGAATAAGCAAACTGTGAAAAGCCAATAAGAAAAGTAAAGATCAAGTCTTCCTTTCATAGTCCAGAAGATTATCCTCTGATTTAATTGTTTTGGACAAGTCAGATTACTCCAAAAGGTACTAGTTGGCCCTCCATTTTTGTGGGGGATCTGTTCTGAGACGCACACCCCTGTGAAAACTGAGATTCGCAAATATTCAACCCCCATAGGCTTGAACCCATTGATTTAAATGGAAGTCGTCCCTCCATGAAACTGTGGACTTAAAGTTCGTGAGAATGGAGGAGTGACCGTATATTGCAGTCATTTAAACCTGGACAATACTTGCAAATTAAGACTTACATTCAAATTATCCCCAGATTTGTAGATCAAGCAGGTGTTTGCTTGTGTGTCACATGCAAGAAGACAGCATTTAACACAGGCCAAAACATTTCTTAGTGCAAATATATATTGTTTTGCAGAGGAAAAATATTGGGGGAAGAACACCATAAAACAGTTATGAAATTTAATATTAATATTTCTGATACAGAATGGCAACATATCTGAAAAGCTGTATTGGGCATAACTACTGGAGATTTTTTTTTTAAAAAAAAATAAAATGTTATACAAGTCATGTAATAGCATAATAGCAATACAGTAGTCACTAGCAGTGTAGTAAGGGAAGAGGTATTTTTGCTCACTTTTGGTGGGAATGCAACTGTCAGACCCATGTGTATGATGGCATGGTGATATAACAATATAATGCTGGGATAACCTGATGAATTGCTGGGAGGATCGATATGGGGAATATCCAAGTGTATTGTATATTAATCAAGTAGAAACTTTGGGTATGGGAACAAACAGAGGGGCAAAGGGTAACAGGGTGAAGGTTTATAGTTTTATTACCCTGCCTTTCCTGAAAGAGGATTTGGCGTGTAACAGAGGGGTACTTTCTTTCATCCCTTAAGGGCGACTGAATGATAAACACGGGAGAGAGAAAAGGTGACATGAAAGGTTGCTTTGGTTAGGATCAAAGAGATCCAAGGAAGGCGGGTTTGGATTATTTGAATTCTAATACTACAGTAAAGGGAACGGATCCCCAGTTCCAACAAAAAGCTCGGACTGTGAACTTCTGTCTTGATGTTCAAAATAAAAGTCTTTTGTTTTCAATCACACTAAGATGTTTTCCTAGTTATTGGGAACTGAGTCCAGGGATCCTGACAGTAACACTGTTAAATATTATTGCCTTGATATTTTTCAAGCTTTGCAGGATGGCTGGGTGTTAAAAAATCTCTCCTAATGTTGTTAAACTGCAGCTTCCAGCAGCTCTAAAGAACACAACCAATGAAGAGCCAGGTGATTCCCAACCTGCTATAAAAGATACAATAAAGAGATCTAGTTCTCTGCATGGATGGACTTTTACGCTATTGGCTGGCCAACTTGAGAGTAATGGTACCACATATGCCGAGTTTAATATACCAATTATATAGCAAAGTAGATTGAAACAGTTAAAGATTTTCCATACCTTGGCTCATTCATACATTCGAATAGAAATAGTAGTCAAGAAATCAGAAGACTAAGACTTGAAAGGGAAGCTCAGAAGAAATTAGACAAGGTCCTCAAATGTAAGATAAATCTTTGACTAGTAAAGGCAGGATTGTCCATGCCATCATATTTCTCATTTTTATGTAGGGTTGTGAAAGTTGGACAGTGAAAAAAGCTGATAGAAACAGAATCAACTCATATGAAATGTGGTGCTCAAGGAGCGTGGACTGCCAAAATGACAAATAAATGGGTCTGAGAACGTTGAACTCACCCTAGACGCCAAGATGACTAAACTGAGACAGCCATACTTTGGACACATTAGGAGAAGGCATGACTCATTAGAAAAGACAATTATGTTGGTATGGTTAGAAGGTCAGTTGGAAAAGAGGAAAGCTGTATTATAGGTGGATAGAGTCCATCAAGAAAGCCACAGCCCCGAGTTTGCAAGACCTGAGCAGGGTTGTTGACAGCAGGTGACTTGGAGATCACTCATTCATAGGGTCACGCTAACTCCAAGGCAACTTGATGGCGAACTGGGATAAGAATGGAGAACTACTTTTGTGCCTACTACTGAAATGTAAAGTCTAAAACAAAGGTTATGCACAAAAAATGTTACTTATGGAAGTATTTGGATAGAACTGATTGAACAGCAATATTCTAATGAAACTGGTCAACCTTGTTCAATATGGAAATCACTATAGACAGGCAAAGTTAACAATCACAGATATCCCAACAACAAATTAAACCCAGTATGAATAGTACGAAGGAAAAGAAAGACAAAGCATTTTTTTTTCTTAGGACCAATTTCTTTTTTAGTCTTAGTGCAATTTGATTTTATACTGCACAATCGTTTTAAAAAGTTTGGTACAGTGCAGAGGTTTGAGTGCTGGTCTAGACTTTGGAGACCAAGATTCAAATTTCTGCTCAGCCATGGAAATTCACTGGGTAACTGGGTAACCTTGGGCAAGTCACACACTCTCAGCCTGAAAGGAAGGCAAAGGCAAATCCACCTCTGAACAAATCTT